TTTGAAATTTCAAAACGTTTAATTCATATTTCAAGAATTTTCCCTTTCCTAAATAACTTACATACATGTCTGACCATGTTATTTATTATGGGGGTGGCATGTCCGGCCATGTTATTCATTATGAGGTGGAATTGTTTTTGACTCTTTAGTCATATTGATCGATGACTAAAAACCTGATTGATAGAGTATATAAACTCAGACCATCAATCTCTTGGATGTGGACAGCGGTCCACACACGATTAGCGGATATCATTTATATTATTGTACAATTCACATACTCACTTCAAGTGATGGCAATTTAACCCGACCCGATGGATACCCGCACCGAACCGAACCGGTCAAAATGGGGAAAACCGTTTTGACTGGGTAACGGGTACGGGGCGAGGAATACCCGATTTATGTAAACGGGTAATGAGGCGGTTATGGGTTTATACCTACCCGCCCCGTTACCCGCCCCGTTTAATTTGGATACGGTTACCCGCACCATTACCCGACCCGCACAATTAACTTATATATTTTAATAGTTTATGTATTTATTATTTAATATATTAAGTATATATGAATATTAGTACATTAGTATATGACACTTATTCTCTCTAGTACTTTGAAACAATATTCAACTTATCGGCTATCCTTTGCAATTCTGATGATCGAGTTGGTGCTCAAAGTTCACTATTTTAGATTTTAAATTTTCAATATCATTCATCATCCTTCCTTTGTTAACTTCTATAATATTCCTTCAAAAAAACCTCTACAATATTTATTTTCTTCACATATTGATTATTTGATTTTCGTGACTTTCTTTACGCAATTTCCACATTGTGTCTCTCTTAGTTTTTCACCTAATAACTTTCATAAAACTCACGTATGAGTTTAAAGTCAAAATATTGCGAAACATTACTCTAGCTTGCTTTAATTTATGTAATTGCTAATAATTTTGTAAAGGTGTATTGGATGATTAGATTAATTTTGATTGGTTGCTCTAATTTATATCAAGTTTTAAAATTTAAATTATGTTTTTTTTCTAAAACAGTAACTACAAGAATACCTAAATCATAGTATTAGAAGTGCCTTTTAAATAATTCCAAATCTATAATCAAAATAAAAGTTGTGGACAAAAATGCGACTCTAGTAACTTTAGTGTTTATAATTTTATTCAAATGTTATGTCGTAGTGATTACAAAACTTACTCATGGTAACTTATAGTCATATTTATGTTCATATCTTTTTTATTAGAGGTATTTTAGGGGAAAAACTTCCTATTTTCATTATGTTACTTGTATACATTATTGTTCTTAAATTAATTTAGATGTTGAATGTTGGTGGGGGTATGCTTATTGAATGTTTGGAAGTTAAATGTTTTTGTGATTCATATTTAGTTTTTACTATCGAGACAAGACTTACTCTTTTGATGTTGATGTAGTAAGAGATTCAATTTGAATCTAGACATATATAATTTGTGAATATTAGATTCAAACGATTGTAACTTTTTGTCATGTTTTACAAAACTTTATCTGTGGTACTATTTAATTTTAATTTTTTTTAATTTAGGTGGTCAATGATAAGTAGTTAATAATCATTTTAGGATCTATACTAGTTTTGAAGGAAAAAAATTATTTTTTAATAAAACGGTTACCCGCGGGGAAAACCGTTACCCGCGGGTAAAAAATACCCGACGGGTAACGGGGCGGTTTCGGGGAATTTTTTTATCAAACGGGGCGGGTACGGGTAATGGTATACCCGACCCCGAACCGCCCCGTTGCCATCCCTTTAGCCTTTACCTACTTGGGCAAATCAGGCCTATATTAGCAGCCCGGCCCGCTATTTCTCTCTCTCTCTCTCTCTCTCTCTCTCTCTATATATATATATATATATAGGATTATTCCTGTCCTTAATTTCCGGACAGGAGCCCCGTCCGGCCTCCTCCATTTGGGGGCCTTCCAGGTGGTTTATTTGCTCAAATTTTTTGTGTGTGTTCCTCATCAAGTCTAGTTCATCCATACCAAATTTCAGCAAAAAATTCAATCGGGAAGGTTGTCAAATGATTTTTGCAAGTTAACTGGTCCGGAATATGTATTTTCCGGACCAGTTAACTTGCAAAAATCCCGAATGAATTTTTTGCTTAAATTTGGTATGGACGAACTAGACGTGATGAGGAACATAAACAAAAAATTTGAGCAAAAAATACCACAGGGAAGGTCGCCAAAAGGAGGAGGCCGGACGGTGCTCCGGTCAGGAAATTCCTGACCGAAAGATTCTCTCTCTCTCTCTCTCTCTCTCTCTCTCTCTATATATATATATATATATATATATATATATATATATATATATATATATCCTTTTGAGGTCTTGTAAACCTAATTCTTAAATCCACATTCACACACTATTCATAGGGAGTAATATAATTATTGTTTACTTTTTTATTCTTTACAATTCGGGTCATAATATCTTGTCTAATTTCAGCAGATTCTTCGATCCATTCGGATTCTTTAAACGTTTTAGAAAAATAAACTTCTCGTATTTAAAAAGAGTATACAGAGTATAAAAGAGGGAGTAATAATTATACGGAGTATTATTCACAGAAAATTGGGACAGCTAAGAGCATCTCCAATGGGGTAGTGGATTGGAGTAAAGTCCATCCTACGTGGCATAGGAGAGAGATAGAGATAGGATGATTATTTTAATTTAATATGGAGAAAGTGGTGTGTATGGAAAAATGAAAAGGAAGAGAGAGATAGTAGTAAATTGTAGACAATGTCTATGACAATGTCCACAAATAGACATTACACGGGAATCGAGGAGCAAAAGTGGATGAAAAGTGGGTTAGAAGTGATATAAAAAAATAAAAATGAAAACAAATAAGGAGATATGTAGGTCCTACACATAAAATTTGGGAGATAAAAAATGGGACCCAATTGTAAGAGTGTGTAAGAGAATAGACATCCCCATTGGAGATGTTTTAGAGGGAGTAATTAGGTAGGTACCAATGGCGGGATCAAATCCGACACAATGACCCGTTTCAGATCCACCACCGTCTTTGATACAGAAATGGCGGCCATTATTAGCAGCGTTGGATTTGCAGTCATCGTGAGACTTGCAGACCTGCCCACTCACAATCAATTGCTCCTTGTTTGTTCCTGCGCTTATTTGCGCCTCTATCAAACCCTTTCCCAACACTGCCACATTCACGTTCAATCATTCAACCAAACAAATCTTATACTCCGTATAATTAGCTTACTGATATTGATTCATAATCATATCCATCCTGCCAGGGGCGGACCTGGTAACACTGAAATTGACATATATACTCATTCATATGAAATTTATGAAATTATGACTCAAATGTCTAAATTGGTTCATTTTGTTTATTTATGAAAATATTATGTTTTAAATATATTTTATTAATAGAATAAAGAAAAAATTATATGAAAATAGCAAATATAATCTTCTACGGTAACTTCGGCCAATGTATCTAGAAAAGTAACTCTAATCTTACTTATTTTGATTATTATACAATTTAGCACGCAAAATTATAACTTACGTGTTTAATGAAAAAGTTGGATGAACAACGTAAAAACAAGCTCACCAAACCAGCTCTAAGGCACGATCTATAGACACGTCCAATTAAATAAAATGCAACTGGAGGTGTTTGGAATTGAATTTGCTTTTCGCTTCTTAAAAAAGCAAGAGTATAATTAGAAACTGGTGACCAGCAACTTCTAAAAAACATTTTCTAGGAGTAATTTGGAGCAAAGTACTTTTGCATTTTCACCCAAACATTCAATATAATATTTCGCAGCTTAAATAAGTTAGAAGTAGTTTTAGAATATAGATCCAAGCATCCAAGCATCCCTCAATCAACATCAGAAGCACTGAAAGATGAATATGAGTACGTGAATGAAGAGTTTGAGAAAGAGAAGTTACAAGATGCAAGAACGAAAAGGCACAGGGAAAACGCTAGCAGCTTCATTTATGTTGTTTTGCCTAGCTGCTAAGAAATGAGTAATAATATGAGCGTAAGCCTTCAAGCCTCACACCTACCAGTTCAATGATTTATAGGCGTGCGGACTACTATATTTAGATGTCTTTAATGGGAGTGTACTTCCTGGGGTGATTTACCGAAACACGGGAAAAGGGGGGAAGGGTTGCCAAAACACGGGGATTTTCCTAGGGTTTACCAAAACAAGGGAGTCGGAACTCCCAATTCCGACCAGGGATTAGGGTTTCGAAAAATAATTCCCTCCACCCTAGTCGGATTACCCAATTCCGACTAGGGGAATTTTTTTTTTTTTTTTTTAAATTTTGTTTTTTATATCGAAGTAGATAGAGTTTCCAAATAAAAAATAATTCCCTCCCCTAGTCGGATTACCCAATTCCGACTAGGGGAATTTTTTTTTTTTTTTTAATTTTGTTTTTTATGTCGAAGTAGATAGAGTTTCCAAATAAAAAAATTATTCCCTCTCCCTAGTCGGATTACCCAATTCCGACTAGGGAAAAAATAATTTTTTTTTTCAAATTTTGTTTTTTATTTCGAATTAGTTAGAGGTTGGCAAAAAATATTTATTTTTTCCAATTTTGTTTTTGATTTTGAGTTCGAAAAAAAATAAAAGTGTTAGGGTTAAATTATATCAACTCCAAATTTAAAACTTTTTTTGAGATTGATGACATATTTTTTAAAATGAAGACTTAGCATTAGCATTATGATTTTTTTTAGTAAGAAAACAATTGATTCCTTTGAATTGTTTTTTAATCCATTAGTATTGTGAATTTTATTTTAATTGCAATTTTTGTAATTTTAAGTGCAATTTTGATTTACTCCATTCGTCTAATTAGATAAAAATTTCATTTTGTTTTAAGTGAATTTTTTTGTAATTTTAATGGAAGTGAACAAAACAAATGTAGTTTTCAATATAATTTATTAATGAATAGACGGTACATACAACATTAAATTTAATACTACATCTAATGTTGCGCGCTCGGCCCTGCTCCGTCTCCACCGCCAGTGTTCCAAGGCCCCGTTGTGTCTCCATAGTGAAAAGACGAATTCAGAAATGACTCAACATAATCATCCGGTTGTGTGGACCACTGATAAGAATCATAATGCGGCGGTGGTTGATCAAATGACCCACCTTGATGCGTTGAGAATTGAGGGGGTGGTTGATCAAATGAGACACCCTGTGTTGAGAATTGAGGGGGCGCTTGTGAGTCCTCACCCCCATCTTCACGTTCATCTGAATCATTCTCTTCGTCACTTCCACCCGCATCTTCATCTTCATAGTGGAATATGCCCCGGTGGAGCATATCTTCATCACCTACATCCAGGGCCATCTGCCGTAGTCTTTTTTGACAATCCTCGTAACTCGCGCGGTCGGCTAAGAGCTGATACACCTCGTGAACGCCTTGCTTCTACATAAAAATGTTACACGTGTAAATAATATGACACGATATATGGTAGCGAATATGGTATGTATTCAAAAACTTACCACAATACCCCAATCGTGTGCTGTCGGGGTGTAGCCTGTCGTGGGCACATTGTGAGAAGGGTTCTGGACACGTGTCATGCCATGCTTCTTGTACCAGTTTCGGTACCTTTTAGTTGCTTCGAAGGACATATATCGACCATAATCAAGAAAGTATATATGATGTTGTATGTCCGCCCACATCGTCAAGGCACGAATTACTATGTTGGAACGAGATCCGTGATGATCAGTACCCGGAAAAGGAGCATTCGGAATGTCTTGCCTTATACCGAACTGCCGAAGAAATCGATCCGGGTAATGCATTTCGGCCATATTGCAAAATATGAGCATAACTCTAGCCGACCAAAGCGGAGCATCATCAAGGATGAGAGGTGGGAGCATCTCGGACGCGTAGGGAGTGAAATCAAACTGTAAAAAGTTTAGTTTGCAACTTATAAACTAGAAAAAATAGTGTATTTTAACGCTGAATAGTACGGTTGAAGTAAAAATTTCATGTACTACCTGACTCTCACTCATGCGGTCTAGGTCATCCCGGTACAAGCGTATGCAATGTCTTGGGGATCCCTTATAGGACTTGGGGACGATCCACCTACATTTATTGATTACCGATATGAAGTTAAAAAATGTAACGTCATGTAAAGCATTCTCAATTATTAAGATGTAATTGACAACATACTTGCACCCATATGGAAGATGGCCATGTTGAATGACCTGAAGTGCTGAGGGACGGACCATCGAAATCCTCGACCAAGCCCAAATCTGTAACAAGTGCATACAACCGCCAACTTGTTTGGTTTCCCACATCGCGCCGTTGCACAAGTTATGGTAGAGGTAGCCGAGAACCGCTGATCCCCAACTCCAGCGACGGGCTAAAGCCAAGTCACCCTGCAAGACCTCCAAAAAGTACAATCGTATTCTTGCCCCACTCGTGTCAGGGAACAAAAACCCTCCAAGCAATTGCCATATTAGAGTCCTGGTGTGTTGGGTGACCTCTTCGTCTGTACTGTCATCTAGGATCCGGTTACGGGTAACAGCACTCATAGTGATATCAGTCGTGCGCATATCAGTCTGTAGAGGAGTGAAACCACACGACTGAGTGCACAGGTCGATCCACTGATCCTTACCCCTAATGGTTGGACCACTGAGGGGCATACCCTGAATGGGCAAACCAAGGATTACCGCCACATCTTGTAGACTAATGCCCACCTCACCGAACGGAAGATGGAAAGTATGTGTCTCCGGCCTCCATCTCTCCACCAACGCGCATATTAAACTATGGTCCACCTTCATACGGGCAATGTGCTCTACCCCCAAGAACCCAGCATATGCTAACATATTTATCACCCTTTGATGTCGCGCTTCACATCCGAATGCAGCTGAAGGGCAACTGACGCATTTCAAGCACGAGTCTTTGGAATCTGGTTCATACCAGACACGGTCTGCACGATGGGCACGAAGTGGCAACGTGAGTAGTGACTGGTTAACAGGCCCTGGGCGCGGAGTGTTTTGGTCCATTTGAAATTCCTGAAATAAGTAGTTATAAATTACTAGTTTTGAAATTGAACTCTAAATCTAAATTGAGCACAATTTATAAATTCACAGGTTTGGATAAAGTTACGTATATCTTTATGATACATAATGTAAAGATCTAAGTATATTTTGAATTATATGAACGGTATAAAACGATCAATACGGAGTATTAGGGTCTCTATAAAATCGAATTAGTATTTATTTACTTAATACATTCATACACTCACATCTTATAAGAAACTTCATAGAGATAAATGTATCTTCAATAATTGAGATATGATAAGTAAATATTATAATAAGTATAATAAGTATTTGATGTAGATGCATTGTAAATCTTATCTATTAACGTAATATATACTCTGGGTTTTATATGTCTTAAAAATTCAATTGAATTCCTCAAATTGTACACTCCTAAAAGTCCAATTTCACAATCTAAATTAAAAATTCACAATTTATAAAATTAACTACTTGTACACTCCTTAAATTGAATTCGAAGTTTATTTCTAAATGTAGCACATTTTCTAAGTTTCTAGTACTTTATTGCTTAATCTTACTCTAAAAGTCATATTTCACAATCTAAATTAAAAATTCACAATGCATTGAGGGCGGGAGAAGTGTATGCGGGAGAAGTGTATGCGGTGTTTCTGCCATAGCATTGACGTAATTATTAATAGGCATAATATCAGAAGCATATGTCCGGATGTACGCATTTAAGGAATACACATCTGGGATGAGGCCATCAACGGTTATTTTTAGAAACCGACAAACCGCATACGCGTGAACACATGGCAGCCCATTCTGCTTCCAATACCCGCACCCACATTCCTGCCTTGACAGATCGATTGTGACTGGATCATGTTCACTAATAGCTACAGAGTAAAATCCCGTTGTTCGATTGTGCGGGACAATAGTTGTGTGATACCTACGCTGTGACCGCTCAAGAACAACCTTCCATATGTTCTGTGGATACAAGAATCCAGCTTGGTGCCACATTAGTCCCGCATGTCGTCGATTGGCAAATAGCTGGACGACTTTATCGAACGTGGCCTTTACTAGTGCTGTGATAGGCAATGTGCGACATCCCTTTAAGACATTGTTAAAACTTTCAGAAAGGTTTGTCGTCAAAATGCCATATCTTTTGCCATCGTCGTAGCTCAGAGCCCACATCTCAACAGGAATCTCATTCAAATATAAAAAGGCACTTTCATTTATGCCTCGTATTTGTTCCATACAGTTGTGAAATTCCTGTTCTGTGGCAGTGCTACCAGCTTGCCAACATAATTTTTTCAATTCCGCGTTTCTAAACTTGGTCATGAAATTACTCCGTATGTGACGGAGGCAATAACGCTTTGAAACCTGTGGCGATCTCAACTCTGGCAAGGATCTAAATGCACTTTCAATTCCTGCATGACGATCGGAGATAATGCACACACTACGACGACTTCCAACCACATCACGCATAACCCTTGCAAAGAACCACGACCAACTGTCAGCATTCTCACTCTCAACAACAGCATATGCAAGAGGAAATATCTCACGGTTAGCGTTCATGGCTACCGCAACTAGAAGAACCCCCTTGTATTTGCCATATAAGTGAGTGCCATCCACTGAGACTACGGGTAAGCAAAACCTGAAACCGTCTATAGAAGCTTTGAATGACCAGAACACTCGGCGGAATTCGAACGTATCAGGAGTGCCGGTCTGTTGTGATTGCAAATGAACAACAGTCCCCGGATTTGAAAACTGTATAGCTTCCAACAACATAGGAAGTTCATTATATGACGCCTCCCAATTGCCGAATTTACGCTCCAGAGCGATCAAACGTCCATTCCAAGCTTTTTTATATGAAACACGTATATCAAATTTTTGATATATGTCTGACATTATCAGTTTAATGCTGTAGTCTGGGTCGACTTTTACTTTTGGAGCGATTTCACTCGCTATGAGCTTGGCTGTTAGGATCTTATCATCCCGAGCCGTGACAGGATCCTCCCTACAACTGTGATGGGGTTGATATTTTTTGACTTTCCACTTTGTTGAAGTCATACCTGCTGCTGCTTGGATATGCCAAGTGCAAATGGTCGGGTTTATGCAAACCGCCTTCCAGGACCGTGCCCTTTTGTCAACCGATTGGAATTGACGAAATTGACGGATGTTTTCTCTCGCCACCGCTTCTTTGAGTGCATCATATGACGGGTAAACTGCGCCGACTTCGATCCTTTCAGGCTCAGAATCTAGCTCGTATGGTTCTTCGGGTAGCTCTACATTGCCCCATGTGGTGTCTACTTCATCGTCTGCATCATCCCTTGTGGATGAATCCACATCAGCACAAAAACCTTGTTCATAATCTGGGTCGTCCGACTCTTCACCGGAGTCTGCATGAATTCAAATGACTTAATGGGTTAGATTTTGTTTGAAGGCGTTATATTATAAAATGTGAGTTTATGTAATCGAATGAGTTAAAAATTACTAAAATAAATACTTCTAAACAAAATAAATTTTTTCTCGAATATAAAATTTCTTAAAATTACAATGTAACAATATAAATATATAAAATTTAAATTATATAGTTTTTTAAAATAAAACAAAATAGGCAGCAGGAAGATTTTTTAATTATAAAACAGTTATTTAAATTAAACTCCCCCCTAGTCGGAATTGCTCTATTCGACATGAAGTTTTTTTTTTATTTTTTTACATTTTAATTCAACGGCAGTTAAAATTGGATTCAATACACTAATAAAGATAAATGAAATAATGAATTTGTACAGATATGGTTTGGAGAGAATAATGAATTTGGTAGATGCGGTGGATGCGAAAAATATAAAGGAAATATTAAGTATAATATGCACTAACTTAAAATTCCAATTTCACAAAGCTAAATTAAAAGCAATTACAAAATACAAAATTAACTTCTCCTACACTCGTAAAACCAAAATTGAAGGACAATTCTAAATTAAACACTCTCTCTAACTTTGAAGTATTTCATAGCTAAATTTAACTCTAAAATTCAAATTTAACAATCTAAATTAAAAAATTTGCAAATTACTAAATCTACTACGTCTACACTCCTAAAACACCTAATTAAGACAAATTATAAGTTAGCAATCTATGTATAGCTTTTTTAACGACGTGATACAATCTCCGTGTAAATCAATATCGTAAATATATAATTAATATAAGTAATATATAAATCACATATAAGTAATTAGGTACGCGTAATATTATTATAAAGATATTAAATTGAACCGTTATTAATTAGCCTAATTATGCATAATATTAGTATTATTTAATATATTATACTAGAGATAATATATACTTGTATGATAGGATAAGTATATAATTCACTAACTAATACATATATTACTAATATCACTGATATATACTCATTAACTCATTATGCCAATTTAACTAATATTTACGAATTACTAAATTAACTACTTGTACACTCTTAAAATGATAACAAATAAAATCAAATCATTGTAAATTCTACTTAAATTGAACAATACATACCGGGAGTTTCATAGTTCTCAAACATTTGGCGGTTGTTCCTCCGACCATGTATTGATGATGGGCCTTCCTCTCCGGGAGTTCTGTGGAACGCCAAATTTTGTGGCGGGGTCGCTGAAGCTTCCACGTAAATGTGCAACTCCTCATACTCATTTGTAGCGATCCGGAAAAAATGACGCCATGTCCGCTCATCGTGAATGGGCCATAATCTAGAAGCAACATATACGGAATTCTTATACTTAGGCAATTTTCCGTAAATTAATTTAATTTCGGAAAATCCGTCGCCTCTAACATGATTTAGAACTTTCTCATGTATAGTAGTATAATCATCTCCTTCGCTAACCCATAGTACCGCCCTAGGAGGTATGGAGTACTCTATTTCATCATCTTTTTGAGATGTAGAGCCATTCCAATGAACCATAACAACAATATTGCCCTCACTAGACATTTTTATATATGGTATATATTATAAATATAATATGAGAGGGGAATGCTAAACAAAAAAAATAATGAATATATTAAAGTGTTTTTGGGTGAATATGGTATGTGCGGATGGTATGTTAAGAAAGAAAGAAGTGTTTTGGGAGTGTGTTTGTAAATTTTGAAAAGAAATGAACGGTTTTTATAGAGTTATTAGCGTAGGAGTTTGGTGAAATACTCAAACCACAACTAAACACGTCGCCTACCCCGTAGTCGGATTCCCCAATTCCGACTACGTACATGCGTACGTATACATTGGATTCTTATTTTAAATTATACTTCCACCAATCCAATTTTTTTTAAATATCAATATTGTAGTCGGATTTCCGTATTCCGACAAGGTAGTTTTTTTAAATTATAGTGCGATTAATTAAACCAAAGAATCCATTTTTTAAAAAAAAATACCCTAGTCGGAATTGGGTAATCCGACTAGGTAGGTAGATTATTTTTTTAATTACAATCCATTAATTAAAACAAGAATAATTTTTAAAAAAAAAAATTACCCTAGTCGGAATTGGGTAATCCGACTAGTGGGAATTGGGTAAGATTTTTTTTTTTTAAATTAGACTCCATTTATTAAAGCAACAAATAATTTTTTTTAAAAAAAAATACCCCAGTCGGAAGGGGGTAATCCGACTAGAGGTAGTTAGATTTTTTTTTAATTACACTCCATTTATTATCGCAAAAAATAATTTTTTTTTTTTATAAAATACCGTCGGAAATAGGTCTTCCGACTAGAGGTAGTTAGATTTTTTTTTTAATTACACTCCATTTATTAAAGCAACAAATAATTTTTTTTTAAAAAAGAATACCCTAGTCGGAATTGGGTAATCCGACTAGAGGTAGTTAGAATTTTTTTTTTAATTATACTCCATTTATTAAAGCAACGAATAAATTTTTTTTTTTTAAAAAAAACCCCTAGTCGGATTACCCAATTCCGACTAGGTGGTGGGATTTTTTTTTTAAAATTACTCTGGTCGGATTCCCCAATTCCGACTAGAGTGTTATGCATTTTTTGGTAACCTAAACCCTAAACTCTAGTCGGAATTGGGGAATCCGACTCCCGTGTTTT